GGGGGCTGTCCAGCCTACCCTGAATTCCCTTGGTTACTGACAGAGGTCAAGAGCACAGGCTCTGAGGCCAGCATATTCACACCCAAATTCCAGCTTCATCTCTCGCCACTTTGAGCCTTGATTTCTCCACCAGCAAATGGGGCAAATAATAGAACCTACATCATGGGGCTGCTGGGGGTGGGGTGGAGATCTCTAGATGAAATCATATGCATGTGAATAATAGTGAGCAGCATAAAATAGGTGCTCAATAAATAGTAGCTAAGGTGACACAATATTATTGTGTCATTATTGTGACACAAGTTTTGCATGAGTGTGTGGGGGTAGGGAGGGATTTACCTATGTTTTGAAATTCTTTCCTTAGGCATCATCTTGCCCTCCCTTAACCCAAGGCAACATGAGTCTGCACAGGGCTGGGACACAAGGTCTTGTTCAGGTAAGGGCTTCCCTTATACCTTAGAAGCTCAAGAACAATGACCTTAATTGCCCACTTACATCCTATCATTCCACTAACAAGTAGCAAGTTCCTACTTTCCCCTACGCCCTGGGTCAGGGCTGGGAATCCAGGATAAGTTGACCCTGTCCTGATTTTATAGACTATCCACCTGGCTGGGAAGGTTAGACAACGTCACACAATTCTCTGACACACTTAGGATGAGAAGTCTTATGGGAAGCTCACCATTCCAAGTGCACCGCTGGACTACATTTCCCAACCTCCCCCGCAATTCAGCATGGCATCTGATGCAGCTGTGATGCATGCACTTCGGAGCTCTTATGCTCCTTAATACTCTCTTCGCGATGATCCCCAGGGCCACTCTGAGACCCCCCTGTTGGAGATTCAACCTGAGACCCAGAAGGACCAAGTAGAGAGTTGCCACCCACTCAGAATTGTTATATAAGCAAGGACTCTATTTCTAGCCTATTTGCTGGGTATTTGTAACATTCTATGTGTAACAGTAGCTAGGGTTACCCAACTGATAATCTGCCATGAAAGCCTGATTCTCTTCTCTGTGTAACTTTTCCCCTTCCCGACTCTAACAAGTACCTTGGGCTCTGTAGTAGTACTAAGTTACCAATGCTATTGTCCAAGCTCAATTTGTGTAACTGGACATGCTACTCCTGACCAGTATTGTTTCCACTTAGAATATTCTTTTCTTTTCTTTTTTTTAGTTTATTTATTTTTGAGACAGAGACAGAGCATGAGTGAAGGAGGGGCAGAGAGAGAGGGAGACAAAGAATCCGAAACAGGATCCAGGCTCTGAGCTTTTAGCTCAGAGCCTGATGCGGGGCTCGAACCCACAAACCATGAGATCTGACCTGAGCCGAAATCTGACGCTTAACCGACTGAGCCACCCAGGCGCCCGTCCAATTAGAATATTCTTATTCATTAGTTCTGTTTTCATTCATTCATTTGTTGTTGTTGTTGGCTGGAATTAGATCTTGAGCTAGGTTTTTCTCTCTCTACCCCTCCTCCCACTCTGTGGACATTGGCCTACCCTAGATGTATTTGGTGAAGTTCAAGACCAGCCTGTATCACCCAGGGTCCTGGCAGAAAGCAAACACCCACACTGAATAATCGAGAGGAGTTTAATAAAGGAATTACATTCATTCAGTAAGAAGATGAACACGTTCTGAGGATCTCACGTATAGCAGGATGGCTAGCGTGGATAACACTATTGCAGAATTGACATGTTGAAATGTGCTAAGGGTAGAACATCATTATTCTCACACAAAAAAAGAGGTAAATATATGATGATGAATGTGTTAATTAACCTGATGGGGGGAGATCTTTTCACAAGTATGCTTCTATCAAATCATCACGTTATATACTTTATTGTTTTTAATTTTTTAAGTTTATTTTGAGAAAGACAGAGAGTATGCATGCAGGGGAGAGGCACAGAGAGAGGGGAACAGAGGATCCAAAGCGGGCTCAGAGCCCAATGCAAGGCTCAAACATACAAACCGTGAGGTCATGACGTGAGCCAAAGTTGGACACTTAACTGACTGAGCCACCCAGGCGCCTTATATTGCACACTTTAAACATCTTACAATTTCACATCAATCCTACCTCAGTAAAGCTGGAAAACAAACAAATGATTTACAAAGCTGTGGCTAGGTGCGGTGTCAGGGCCCAGCCGAAGAGCCCTCAGCATCGCCCCTGTGTGGTGATTACAGCTAATACCAGGGTCAGTCTCCTGCTCCATCTCTCTCTCTCTCTCTCTCTCTCTTTTTTTAAATTTTCAATGTTTTATTTATTTCTGAGAGAAAGAGAGAGACAGCGTGAGCAGGGGAGGGTCAGAGAGAGAGGAAGAGACACAGAATCTGAAACAGGCTCCAGGCTCTGAGCTGGCTGTCAGCACAGAGCCCGATGCAGGACTGGAACCCACGAACTGTGAGATCATGACCTGAGCTGAAGTCGGACGCTTAACCGACTGAGCCACCCAGGTGCCGTGGTGGTTGGACTTCCTACACAGCAACTCGGGGTTCCCAGAGAGAATGTTCAAGAGGCCCCAGTGGAGGCTGCAAGGCTTTTTATGACCCAGGCTCAAAGTCTAGGAATGTCATTTCCACCAGGTTCTGTTAAACCAGGCCCTTCATCCAGTCCAGACACAGAAGGAGGAAAGATGCAATGGGAGGAATAGCAAAGAACTTGTGATCACCTTTACTCCACCAGCAAGTCATCCAGGTTGACTAGTGTTTGGGGAATGTGCCAGGAAGTCAAGGGACAGACGTGGGAGAGGGACTAGAAAGTCATGACAGGGGCGGGGGAGACAGTACTAAGGCAGAGAGTGAAGGCTCTAGAGTTGGATTCGGATTCAATTCCATCTCTGCTACTTACCACGTGTGCTAAGCAGGCTGTTGCACTGTCTGAGCCTCGGTGTCCTTATCTGTAAAATGAGGAGGTCTGTTCCCACTGCAACAGCATTGCTGTGAAGATTCAGTGGGGTGGTGCTTATAAAGCACTTCCAGAGCACCGGGCTCCAAGTATGTCTCAATAAATGAGAGCCGTTATTATTTCTCCTGAGTAACATGGAGCGCCAGGGAAGGGCCTTAGAAAAAACTCTGACTCCAACAATGTATTGGAAGGATCATTGTTGACCTACTCTCTCTTTCCCTGGCTCCCACAGACAGCCCAACCCAAGTCCAGCTGATTCTACTCTGTAAGTGTAGCTTGAATCTGATTTTCCCCATCTCCCCCACTGTCACCACACTCTCTGCCTAGTCCTCTGCATCTGCTCCTTTCCTCGTCTCCCAGGGGCGTCCTCTGCACCCCACTGCCCCCCCCACAATGTTTTCCCCTCACAGCAGCGAGCCCAGGCTTAACCTACAGCAGGCACCTGCATGCAAAACACCTAGAACCTTGTTAAAATACAGATTCCCAGTTCCGCAGGGCAGGGATGGGGGCTGGAAGTCTGCATTCTAATCAGCCCCAGGTGGTATCGATGCCAAAGCTTCCTGGACCATACTTGGAGTAGCTGGAGACTGTTTTTTCCCCAAATAAAAGTTGGATCCTGTTTTGCCTCCATTTACATCCTCCACTGGTTTTCCAGTGTTCTCAGGGGCAAAGAGCAATCGGTCCCTCACGGTGTCCCACATACTCCCAGTGTGATCTAGCTCTCGCCTGACTAGCCCCACACCACCCACTCCCCACCCTATTTCCCTTTATCTATCAATTTATAATATTATGAAATGAAATAAAACTACCATGCTGCTCAAACACTGGAACGTCACCAATAACCAGAAGGTACCTGTAAACTCCTCTTCTCCCCCTCCTTCCCCATTCCCGAGGCAACATTTTTCTCAAATTTGTGTTCATCTTTCCCTTTAAAAGTTTTTTCTGGGGCGCCTGGGTGGCTCAGTCGGTTAAGCGTCCAACTTCTTCGGCTCAGGTCATGATCTCACCGTTTGTGGGTTTGAGCCCCGCATCGGGCTCTGTGCTGACAGCTAGCTCAGAGCCTGGAGCCTGCTTCAGATTCTGTATCTCCCTCTCTCTCTCTCTCTTTCTGACCCTCCTCTGCTCACGCTGTCTCTCTCTGTCTCTCAGAAATAAATAAAACATTAAAAAAAATTTTTTTAAAGTAAGTTTTTTCTACTTGTGCCTGTGTCTAAACAGCATATTTTTGGTTTTGCTTTTATTATACGTTCTAAAAGTTGCATCAGAGTGTATATAGTTTTCTGCAACTTATTTCTTCATTCAAAGTGGTGTCTGAGATAGGTCTAGCGTCTCTGCAGCTGGAGTCCACTCAATGTCACGGTTGTCTTAACATTCTACAGTGAGTATTCCAGAGTATTTGCCCACTCTGCCCATAAGCGATAGCGGGTGTTTCCTGTGCGTCTGGTGTTAGGCACAGTGCTGGTGTGAACATCCTCGAAAATGTTCTCTGACTGCACGCAGGCGGGGTTCTCAAGGGTAAATGCCTAGGAGGGTATCTGCCATGCCCCCCTCCTCTCGTTCATTCCCCAGCACCCTGGGGTCTCACGGAGAATGTCCTCTCCACCTGGGCTGCCCTCTTACACCCCACTCCCACGCCTTCCCTAGTAAACTCAGAGAAGCCCTCTCAGGCCTGCAAGCCACGGCGAGCCCCCATTAAGGCCCCCGACTACACATTTATGTGGGGGATTGTGTGAGGAGCGTGGGTCTCGCCCAGCAGAGTGCAAGCCCCGCGGGCTCACCGTTCCCAGCTCCAGGTCCGGCCTGGCGCGCGGCAGGCGCCCAGGCGGCAGCTCGAATGCTGCTCGAGGGGCCGGGCGGGAGGCAGAACCGGCCCGGCGGCTGGCGCCCGAGCCCACAGGTGGCTCCCACCCTGCGTCCCGGGGCCGGCGGTTTCGGGCGGGCCACGGCCCGGCCGAGGGTGCGGGGGGCGCTCGGATCTGGCCCGGCCGCCGGCCAGGAATTCCAGGAAATGCACTGCCCGGGTCTGCGGGGCGGGGCGGGGGCTCCGGCGGGGGGCGGGGCCGGGGCGGGCCGGGGCGGGGCCGGGCCGCGTTAAGAGGATCGTGGCGCGCCGCGGTCCCGGCAGGTCTCCAGGGGGATCACCGACCCGCGGAGGAAGCATCGCCGGGGCGCACGCTTGGCACTATGACCCAGACGCCCGCCTTCGACAAGCCCAAAGTGAGCGCGGGCGGGGCTTGGGGCCTGGGGTTGGGGGGTTCCGGCTCCTTGTTTGGCTGGAGGGCTTAGGGCGTCCCCACCCCGGGAGCACACGCGGGCCCCTGCAGCCGCTTTCCTTCCCTCAGCTCAGGCCCTCGGTGCCTCTGGGCAGTGTAATGAGAGACAATGACGCTGGGAGTGTCCTGAATCCCGGGGCGCCCCCGGCCGGCCTCCGAGTTCTGCGTCTGCCCCTGACTTGGCCTCTCTGAGTCTCAGTTTCACTACCTGTTGAATGGGCCTGTGGCTCTGCTAGCGCCGGGTAGCTGTGTGAGCCGAGGTCGGGTACTTGACCTCTCGAACCTCGGCTGCAAAATGGGGCCAGGTGTCTACACCCATAGGCACTTAAAGTGCTGTGGAAACAGCTTTGTACTCCAACACCGTGATGGGTTTGCGAGCGCTGAGGATCTCAGGGTTGTGGATATGCCAGTCGTGAGGACGTGCCATCGAGCTGAGGGAGGGAAGCAGGGCGCTCCCTCTCTCCGGCTAGGGGCTGAGTGGGCTTTAGGCCTTGGGTTAATTCCAGGCCAAGCCACAGCCACTGGCCCCAAGGGATAACTCCGTGGTCCCTCCCACCAGCTGTGGCGTCTTGGGAATGGCTGAGTCAGGGAGGGTCTGGGCCCACTTGGCAGGCTTTAGAGCACTGAGATTCAGTCCACAGAGGGGAGGGGTCCAGGAGTCCGCCCAGCACAGTGAATGGGCTAGCAGGGTTTGAAACTCCTGGGGGCGGCGGTCACAGGAAGGAGTGAGCTGTAATTAGACTCAACTTCCCTCTCTGAGAAATGGGTGCGAGTGATGATGGCAGATACATAAACGACTTGGTGAGCATCCCGTGTGTGTGTATATGTGTGTGTGTGTGCGCGGGGGAGGGCAGTGGGAAGCGCTGGAGGAGGTTAAGGCCTGCGGCTCACTGTGGATGCCCCCACCACAGGGTGCATGCTCAGCTATTCTGCCACACGTCCGTGCGGGGGGGGCGGGGGGAGCTCCTGTGGAAGCCCACCGAAGCCTCCCCCACACCTTGTCTGGATGCCCCATCTCTGGCACCTCTTTCCTTGCGAAGGGTCTTTTTTTCCTTTTAAAATGCTTTTGGATTCCCTCTGCCCTTGGGCTGGGGAACCACCTTCCCTTGTTATGAATCCTAAGGCAGTAGACAAAGCCCCTTGACTGGGAGTGAAATTGGAGCCACGGAGATAACAGGTAACACTTGTGCAAATCTGTCCTTGCAACATGTGTAACAGCCCCGTGAGGGACAGATCATTGTTACCACTTTTTTGGCCTCACCCAATCCTCTCTGATTCGAGCTGGTGAGTTATTTCCCCTCTCTGGACCTCTGTTTCCACACCTGGGAAATGGGCCCCACCTGCTTGTAAGAAGGGGGTGTCTGGAGTTAAAAGGGGGTGCTTGGGAGGGAAGGTAGAGTGTTCTCTGCTATGTAGGTGAGATGTGATTACTTTTTATATTGCAAGGAGGGAACGTGCCTGAGCCCCAGGAGAAGCAAAAAGGACACCAGAGCCAGCTCCGCTCCCTGTGGGGGGAACAGATAATCATGAGAACTAGTATTAGTAGCTGGAGCTAATGAGTTGTTAGTGTTTGGGGCCGGCTCCTTTCTCAACACATTACCTTTATTAATTCACCTGATTCTCACAGTGATTCCGTAAGATAGCTGGGTTCATCCCATTCATTATACAGATGAATAGAGGCACAGGAAGATTAACAAGGCTAAGAGCACACTGTGAGGAAGTAGCCAAGCTGAGGGTTGAGCCCAAGGGTGGGGGTGGGGGGGGGACTGGCTTCAAAAATCCCATGCCCCACCCAGTTTTCCTGAACTCGCCTTTGCAGAAGCCTCTGGGTAGAGGTGCCCACAGCGCCCTGGGTGGGGGCCCGTCTGGGACGGGAGTCTTTACTTGGCTGGTTGGCCTCTTCTGCCTGCCACCAGGTGAGTCCCGAGGCCCAGCCAGCTTTCAGAAGGCAGAGCAAGGGTGTGCTTTTCAAACTTTAATGTGTACTCAAGTCACCTGAGTGCCTTGTTAACATTCAGACACTGAACTGGGAGGTTTGGGGTGGGGCTTGCTATCCTCCCTTCTGAGCTCCAGGCGATGCTAATAACACTGATGGACCACGGACCACGGTTTGAGGAGCACGGCCCTGTGTGGCTGCCTACCTGGTTTGATAGTGTTAATCTAATACTTTCTAACTTCCTGAGCACCTTCTGGGCGCTGGAGGATGTATAGGGAAGGTGGAGTGGTGGCCCTTATCAGGGTCTTTCTATACAAGGCAAGGCTGGAAAATCGTGGGGTGCTTAGGTGTTCTGTGTCACGGAGGACAGTGCTGCTCACATGCCGATTTTTGTAATAACAGTGGCTACCAGGTACTTCCGGTGATTTCATCTGGACACCTGGACAAGGTAGATCTCTTGATCTGCCTTCACCAGTTGAGGACACTGAGGCTTGGAGAGGGGAAGTGACTTGCCCAAGGCTACACAAAAGGAGTACCTGAAAGCTGTAGACGGGCAAGTGAGTTGGACCAGTTTGTAAGAGCACACTTTCTACACTGTCCCTCCCTGATGCAGAGAACTGGGGCTCAATCTCCCACATCATTTTCTTTTAAGGAAGCTCTTATGCCGGGGGTGCCAGGGTTGCTTGGTCGGTTAAGCATCCGCCTTAGTTTCAGCTCAGGTCTTGATCTCATGGGTTCGTGAGATCGAACCCCCCCCCCCTCCCCGTTGGGCTCTGCACAGACCGCGTGGAGCCTGCTTGAGGTCCTCTTTAAAAAAAAAAAACAAAAAAAAAACTCTATGCCCAAGGTGGGGCTTGAACTCACAACTCTGAGGTCAGGAGTCTCCTGCTCTACTGAGCCAGCCAGCCACCCTGCCCGCAAAATTGTTTCTCCTATTTGCATGTTTACTCTGTACCAGGCACTGTTCTAACTGCTTTGCATATATTCACTTAATGCTCACAGGAGCCGTTTACAGTAGGCTCTCTTCACTGCCATCTGAGGAAATGGCTCAGAGAGGGGAAGGAACTTTGCAAAGCCACACAGCCAGAAAGCATAGCTAGACCTGAATCCAGTATTACCGAAAACTGAAATAGATGCTATTAGCTGCCTTGCAAATTTGCCACTTTCTACTTAGCGGGGAAGGTAGTTAGAATCCAAGGAATCTTGGGCTTCAGATAGACTAAGGATGGACCCCTGCCTCATGGTTTCGCTGCCACAAGAGCTCAGGTGGACATTTCTCTGAACCTCTGCTTTCTTCTCCGTTGATTAAAACCAAAGTCCTGGGATCTTAGGGAAATTGTGCTGTGTGGCACTTGTGAAGCCCCCGGCTGGCAGGCAGCAGGCCCTCCTTAAGTGTGCTTTCCCTCCCCCCAGGGCTGCTGTGGGAGCCCCGCGCCCTCTGGGAGGCTGCCTGCACCTTCAGAGGCTTTCTCACCTTTTGGACTTCCTGCCACAAAGCCCGCTGTTAGCACTGCTTTGGGCTTTGAGTGCTTTTTGGCTACCAGAGCCACCTGTTATTAAAAAGCCCCTCCTGAGCCCACCTGACCCATTATAACTCAGGTGGCACTTGGGAGAGAAGAGAAAGAATGAGATTAGGTGTCAGGGAAGCCTTTTGTTTGGCCGAGGAGACCAGGACCAGAGAGGCTAAATGTGGTCACACAACAAAGTAGGGGAGGTGGGCCACAGTCCTGATTCTATGGACTTGGCTTGGCCTGGGTGGGAAGGGGCCCTGTGAGCTGGGAAGAAATTGTCTACCTACCCAGTTGTCCTAAGAAGGTGTCCCCTTGGGGCAGGGAAGGATGGCCCTGTCACCTGGCTTTGGACAGGGGAGAAGAGTAGGCCAGGGGGCCCAAAGTGAGGTCCAAGCCTGTCTTTACCCAGAGTGTTGGGGGCAGGCTCACTCGCACCCATTAGGGTCCTGAGGCCCCAGAGCAGCCAGGTGAGGGAAGAAACCAGCTCTGGTGTCCTTGTGGCCATGGAAGCAGAACAGCGAGTTTTCCTATCTGCACAATGGCAGTGAGCTGCGAATGAGCCTACACAGAACCCCGAGTGCAGGCCCGGCTCAGAGCGGGGGGGGCCCCCAGTGCTGCTGCCCTTGCTCCTTATCCTTGTCCTGGTGCTCAATCATTCTGTTTAGAGTTCACCAGTATTGACTCAGCACTGATCTGCAGGATGAAGGGAGTGCAGTGTGGCTGTTACAACTTCTGGCTTTGACTCAAACAGCTTCCGGCCGTGACGCTCAGCGGGCTGTGGCCGAAGGCTGGTTCCTTAATCTCCCGGTGTCTTGTCTCCCCACCTATGAAGTGGGGAATGACTGTGCTGAGCTCCTAGACTGTTGCTCCACAGGATGTGCCCCTGGCCAAAGATACGCCCTCGCATCTCTGGGGAACGTCACAGCAGCAGCTGAGAGCTTGTCCGGCCCCAAAGCAGCAGGTGGCACTGGGAGCCCCTTCAGGTCTGTGCCTCTGAGCTGCGGGAGCTCAGATGGGGCCAAGCACAGAGGGCTCCCCGGAAGAAGTGGGGCTGAAACAACTTGTCAGCCCAGGGCTGCTCTGCCTCCTGGCTTCTCCCCAAAAGCCACTGAGAGGCCATGGTGGCCTGTGGGCACCTGCAGCTCGTTGGCAAGAACAGGGCTAGGGAGGGGGAGGGTGTCCGGCTGGCTGGGGGCACCTGTGGCCCATCTAGGTTCTGGGGGCTGGTCAAGGAGTCCTGTCTACTCTGCTCTCTCCCAGCCCAGCGGGGTAGGTCAGGCCCTTCCTTGTCGCAGGGAGAGGACACAGCACTGCTGACCTAGAACAGAGCGGAGAAAACAATCACTTGGTTATTCGATGGGTGCGGAGCGCTTTTTGCTGTGCTGGGCACTGTCCTAAACACTGAGGACCCAGCATAATGACGCAAAGTCCGCACTTTCGGGGAACTAATAGGCAGACCGACGTGGTGAGTGAATTTAAAAAGTCAGCAGGATAAAA